TGTCTCCCCGTGCCTCAGTTTCTCCATCTGCCCGGGGACCCGAGGGGGTGCTCCTTGGGAGCTGGCCTTACCTGGACGTGGTACTGGGAGGTCTCGTGCATGATGATGTTGGAGTTGGAGTACTTCTTCCTCTGTTCTGAGCAGGGAGTCACCAGTCAGTCACCCCAGGGGGCAGGACCCGCCGCCCCAAGTCCAGGTGGCACTGGACCCTCAGTTGGGCCACAGGGAGGGCGAGCGGAGGGGTGCTGCCGCCAGAAATGACTCGAGGGTGTAGAATGCGAGCGAGGGCCCTTTGTGGGCCGACGGCAAGCTTCCCTCCACTGCCAGGAGGCCCCGAGGAAGGACCCCCAGCTCGGAGCAGTGCAGGGGTCTGTGCCTGAGGGGTTGCGGGATGCTGAGCAGTTCCTCCCGTGGAGGCCCCCTGCCCAGCTGCCCGGGAAGGGTCCATCCAGGGCTTCCTCCCACGGCAAGCGCCACCAGTCGACGTCTCCGGGCCCCTTGGGCCCCGCCCAGACGGGGCGCCGAGTCCAAAGGCACAAACGTGCGTCTGGGGGGGGGCGGGCCGGGCCCCCCCCCAGCAGCACCTGGACTCAGCCCAGCCTGGGCCCTGCCCCTCGGGCTATCCGGTTGCAGTGAGTGGGGCAGTCGAATCAATATTGATGGTCCCTGAATTATTAGTAAAGGCCTCTCTCCTTACGGGGAGGGAGGGAAGCAGGGACCAAGCAGCTGCTTCTCCATGAGGGTTTGGGGCCCCTCTGGGCACCGAGGGCTGGCCTGCGTCCCCGGGGGGCCTGGCACAGCCTGGGGGAGGGGAGGCGGCCAGACCCTGGTGCCCATCCTTGAGCCTCACTCACCGAACAGGTCCTTGGCACTCATCTTGGCCACACCGTCAGACCGGCCCAGGCTGCCGCTGCAGGGGAGGAGCTGGTGAGGGCGAGGCCCACGCCGCACCCCTCCCTGGGGACTGCCCAGTGCGTGGGGGTGGGGACTCACTTGGCAGCACCGGGGCAGCAGCTCACAGACCCCAGCTGGCTCATGGCGTCCTTGGTGGTGGCCGGTGACGAAGGGGAGCCTCGTGGCCTGAGTCCAGGGCCTAGAGCCCGGCCCCCACCTGAGTGGACAGGGCAGCCGAGCTGACGCCTCCCCGGGGCCTGGTTGGTGGCTTCCCTGCTCCCAGGGCAGGACCTCGTCTCGGCTTCCTCCCAGCCCAGACCTAGAGGCTGCAGTGCTGCCGTCCTGGCCAGACTGCCCCGGGGTTTGGGCACGGTGTCCTCGGGGAGCGGACACAGCAGGACCTCCCAGTCCACGTCCCCCATCTCACCCCAGGCCCTCGGGCTTCCACAGGGAACCCCAGGCTGTGCCAGTGGAGGAGCCCCTCTCCCAGGCTGCCTGGGGTGGGCCTGCAAGGACAGTGTCCTGGGGGCTCAGAAAGGGGACCAGGGAGACGCCACACGTGTTCAAGGGTCCTGAGGCAGGTGGGAGCCAATACGAGAGGAAGGTAGCCCAGGACGAGACTGGACCCAGGATGGGGTCAGGGGGCAGGCAGCGGAGGGCAGGTGTGGCCTTGGAGACCCAGAGCCCAGAACAAAGTCTGGAGGAAGCACACTTCAGGGGGGTGAGCGGAGCCTGGTGCCCCCGAGCCAGACGAACACGTGCCCCCTGGGACCCCTGGCAGGGCTGTCCCTCAGTGGGGGCCTCCGTACATGGGGCCTGCCAGGGTGGGTGGTCACAGGCCGGGGGTGCTGGGCTCTGAGGGCAGGATGCACCCCAGGACTTTCTGGTTTGACAGAGAGGGTTTCGAGGAGGCGTGAGGGGCCTGGGAGCTTCCGGCCACTCCTCCCATGTGTCACCGAGGGGCCCGGCTCTCTCAGGGTGGGTGGGAGTAGGGGCTTGGTCAGATTCCTCGGACCACGTAGCCGTGGAGAATGTCCGGAATGCCCATGACCTCAGCGAGTGAGCCAAGTGTTTGCTCACTAGGACTCCTGGCGGGCTGAGCCAAGGGCACGGGGCACATGTGTCTGGCACACACACCTGGGCGAACCCCAGGCCTCGGGGCGCACGCAGACACACACTGGTTATGACCCCCCGCCCCGTCCTCGGGGCCACTCTCTGCAGGACCGACCGGCTGGAGAGCTGAGGCCAGGTGCTGGCATCTGGGTCGGGGCATGGCCGGGGGAGGGGCCGCCACGGGTGCCTGGCTCCCGTCAGCTGACTGGGGCAGGGGAGCCCACGGGCCCAGGGGTGGGAGCAGCCTGGGGCCCAGGCTGCCCTTTGGTTTCACTGTGGCCATTTTCCGGGTGCAAAGGGAGGGCCGAGCAGGGTGCCTGGTTGGGCAGCAGAGGAGGCCCCAGCAGGGCAGGGAGGGTGGAGGAACCAGCTCCAAGTTCAAATTCCAGCTCACAGCCAAGTGACCTTGGGGAGGAGTCAGCTGAAGGCCCAGAGGCAGCCGGGTGGAGCCCTGGAATGGGGGAACACCCCAAACCCTGGCGGTGCCCAAACCTGGTAGGTAAGGAGGGACAGGCAGGGAAGCCTGGGTGGGGCAGGGGTGGGCTCCAGGCGCGCTGGGGAGGTAGGCAGAGGACCCCGCAGACTGGGCCGGGTGGAAAGCAGACCACAGAGGCCCCGTCCTAGGCAGGAGGGGGGCCTGGGCCACAGAGGCCGGGGCGGGGTGGGGGGGGACTGGGAGGAGCAGTGCAGAGGTGGGGACGAGGGGCGCCAGGACAGCTCCTGCTGGGGCTGGCCCCACCCGGACCGGGGGCACCTGCGGGCCTGCCTGCCCTCCTGCCCTGCCACCAGGGAGGGATGCCTCCATGCGCAGGCCCCCCAGGCCAGCCTGGCCCAGGGAGAAGGGACCTGGAGGAGCTTCAGCTCAGGCCTGGCAGCCCAGCTCGCAGCCTCCTCCGCCCTGAAATGCCCACACCCCTCGACCCTGAGCCTGACCCCAGCCTGATGCTTCTGGCCCGGATTCCCCGTGGGCTGAGACAGCCAGGAAGTGCCCTCCTGCTCCCACCCGCGGGGAGCCACTGGCTCCCCTCAAGTGTTGGCCACAAAGGAGGCCCCAGCCTGTCCCGGGGAAGGGGGCTGGGGCCCTTGGGGCACATGGGAAACCCCCTTCCCACCCTGGTCCTGGAGGATGGGGTTCTTTCCATGGAGTCCCAGGGCCGGGAGGCGGCCAGGGCCTCAGGTGCACCCGGGGCCGCCCCAGGACAGGCCGGGCAGGCCAGGCCCCCACCCAGCTCCTGGCCACGGGTTCGGGGCGGCCCTGTCGCACCCCGGTGCCTCGGACGGCCGGGCCCATGGACTCCGGCCAGAGCCCCCAGTCTTGCGGCCAAGCCGGGAAACTGAGGCCGAGCCGGACTACAGGTTGGCAGGCGGGGGTACGCTGGGTGGGGCCCCAGGACGCTCACCTGCTCCTGCGCCCGCGCCCGCGCCGCCCGTGGGCCCCTTGTCGTCGAGTCCGTCCACCCGTCTGTCGGCTCCTCGCCTGGGCGCCCAGGCTCAGCAGCGGGAGGGACGCGCGGCTGGGCCGGGCCGGGGCGGGGCGCGAGGAGGAACCTGAGCGGCAGGTTAGAGACCGGCGCCTGCCGGCGCGGGGGGAGGGGCGGGGGCGCGGCGTCCTGGCTCGGCCCCGCCCCGGGGCTCCCTGCGGACGGTCCCCAACAGCCGCCCGCCCGGGACGCGGATCCGGAGCCCCTCGCCCCTGGGACCGTATGGGGCGAGCGAGCAGGGTGAGGCTGGGCCCCTCCCGGCACAGAAGCCCCTCCTCAGCTGGCCCCTGGGGCCGGGGCCTGGGGGTCAGGCTGCAGCGTGGGCGTGTGTCCAAGACCCTGCGCCCCCGAGCCCCGACTGCCCCAGGCAGGAGACCCTGGTCTTTGTGCACCCGAGGCCCAGGCGCCATGGGGGGAGAGGACAAGGGAGGGGGGCTCTGGGCTGTGGCCCCTCCTGAGGCCCAGGCCTCACCTGTGCCCGCTGCGTGGGGGCAGGTGTCCTTCCTCCTGGCCTGATTCCCCTGCCTCAGTCAGCTGGGCGGAATGAGGTGAAGGGGGGGAGGCCCAGTCCCAGCAGTGCGGGGCACCCCCAGGTGGCAAGCAAGGACCCACAGGCTCTAGCTAGTTCCCGGGGTGCACCAGGGGGCGGGGTCCCAAGGGCAGCTGGGCGGGGCGGGGGGCAGGATCCCCCTGGGGGGTTGGAGGCACATTCTGCCCTGGTAGGTCACCAGCACCGCAGGGCAGCTCTCCCCACCTGCCGAAGCACCACAGGTGAGCCTTCCTCTGGGGCCCAGCCCTGCCCCCCAGCCCTCGTGAGCCCTGGCTTCCTGGTTCTGTCCCCAATGCTGCTGAGCACCCACAGGGGAAGGCCAGGGCCTGCCCTCGTCCTTCCCGGAGCCCGAGCCTGGGCGGGCAAAAGGTGGGAAGGCACGCAGGGAGCAGCTGAAGTGGGCACTACAGACTTCTGAAACTGAAGGGACTGTTGTCAGAACAGGAGCGCTGACCCCTGTCTGGGGTCCTAGGCTGGTGGTAGCCGCCTAGAGCCATGGTGTCCTCCCTGGACGGGAGACTGACACCTCTGTGTAGCCAAAGTGACGTGAGTGTCAGAGCCTGGCCTGCATCCTCGGCAGGAGGTCATGAACCCTCAGGGCCCCAGGTGTCGGGGGCCAGGACCTGCAGGGGAGCTGGCGGAGGGCAAGCGCAGAGTCTAGCCTTCCCAGGTCCGCGGAGGGCGTGCCCACCATCAGGGGTGCGAAGCCCCACTGCACAGGCACACAAGCACAGGTAAGCACGAGGTCGTCTAAGCGGGCAGGGGACAGGGCTCCTGGAGGACACACCGGTGGAGGGTGTGCTCCCACCACTGGCTGAGGCCCGTCCCTGCAGGGGTCTGGGTGCACCCCGGGGCCCGGCCGTGCTGCCTTCTGGGGGGAAGCACTGTGCCCGTGGTTCCTGGGGGACGCCTGGGTGGGGTGTGCTCCTGAGGATCCAGAGAGAACCCTGAGGAGGCAGGTGTCCTTAGCTGGGAGAAATCCGGGGGGGGGTAGAAACATTTATTTCGACAATATGGGGCAGAGAAAACACCTGGATATGCAACTCCGAACACAGCACGCGACAGACACACGGACAGAAGCCGCTGGGAGCCCCGAGCCCCGCAGGACAGGGCAGCCCGCGGCCGGTCAGTGGCGGGCTCCAGAGCGCCTCCTGTGGAAGCCCCAGGGACCGGGGACACCTCAGCACACACAGCTCGCAGTTCTTGTCTTTCTGCTGCAAAGCCGAGTGCACGTCCCGCGGGACTTGGCCTGTTGTGAGCCGTGGGGCCCTGGCTTCCCACGCGCCAGCATGGAAAGAGCGGATGCCAGCAGTTGTGGCGCTGACGGCACCGTGCACCACCGGAGCCCGCCCGGCCGCGGCCAGCAGCCCGGCCGCCCGAGGAAGCCCGTGCACACGGCCGAGCAACCAGGGGCTCCGTCCGGAGCCGTCCGGGGGGGCCGGGCACCGGCGGCCTAGCTGACGAAGGCGGCGACGGCCACCAGCTGCAGGGCGGTCTCCAAGCCGTGCAGCGCCAGGCGCGTGGCGCCGAGGATGGAGTCGGCCCGCAGCACCAGGGTCTGCCAGAGCAGGAAGTGGGCGGACAGCAGGGCGCCCCCCGCGGTAAGGACCAGGCTGATGGCCAGCGGCACCTCTGCCTCCGTCAGGTTGCCCTTGGTGCCTGGAGAGCAGAACAGACGCACGAGTGGGCGCCGGGACGCCCACCGAGCCCTGTGTGTGCTCGGGAGGGCGGCAGCTCATCACCGGCACGGCCTCCAGATGCAGGCCTGAGGGCCTCCTGGAAGAGGTGCTGTTGTGGCCACCACGTCACGCGTGAGCGGTCAGAAAGCAAAGTGCCACAAGGGGCTGTGTTCTCCTCGTGAGGGCAACAGCCAGCTGCAGCCATGATGTTCCATCTCCGCCTCCGGGTCTGCTGTGGGCACGGGAGAGGGGACTTGGTTTTCTAAAAATGGTCCCAGTTGCTTTCTGACACCTTTCTCTAATTCCAAGTGGGTGGAGGAAGTTTCTTTTAGTTTCCAAAAACAAAGCACCTGGGCGGCCTTCGCTCAGAGTATGATCTCAGGGTCCTGGGATGGAGCCCCACATGGGGCGCCCTGCTCAGTGGGGAGCCTGCCTCTCCTCCCTCTGCTGCTCCTCCCACTCCTGCTCTCTCTCTCAAAATAAATCTTTAAAAAAAATTTCCAAAAATATTTTTCTCTGGGCTAAGGGCAATTCTGGAGTGCGTTGGGCACACCTGTAAAACACAACTGAGGATTCTACGAATGGGTCAGTCACGGGAAACGCTGAGCCCCGGCTATTGGAGGGAAGCCGGTGCCCCGCGCCGCCTGCCGCCCCAGGGGCGTGGGCTCATCTGCGCCAGCGATGCCCGCAGGCCCCCGCAGCTGCGGGGGTGACAAGGGCGCGCGCCTGCATCTTCGCTGGTGGGTGTCGGCATCGCTGGTGCAGGTGGGCGGGACGTGCTGCTGTGCCCGGGCGGGGTGCAGGGCCGGGGAGCCAGCTGTCGGGCACCACCAGCTCTTCCCAGGCGGGTGCTCCTACACACGGTGGGTGCCTGCTGCGGAGCGCCGGAGGGTGGCCTGCGGCGGTGCGGTAGGCGGAGAGGGCCGGAGGCCTGCACCCCGGCGGGGCCCACATGGTCGGAGAACGCAGTGGGGAGCAGCCCGTGGGTCCCGGGGCTGGACGGAGGAGGCTCCACCGCCCCGTTGGGGCCGAGACGGAAACTGCAGGTGCTTCTCCTCCCGGCTGCTGAGGCCAAGGGCAGGGGAAAGAAGGAGGGGAGGGGACTCGGGGCCCGGGTCAGCTGGCCAGGCTGCGTTCTGGCCTCAGCGGTCTCTGCTCCCCCGTGGCTTCGGGGGGACAGGCTTCCACGTGGAATCTCCCCGCTCCCCCTGGTGCCGCTGCGGTTCTGCCTCTTGAACGAGGCTTCTGAATACACGGATCCTCAAGGACATCGTACGGCGAAGCCCGTAAGTGGCCAAGCGGAGGACACCAGTGACTCCAAGAACCCCATTGTAAGGGGGGCCTGTTTCGAAGCCGCCAGTGTGGGGGCTGGGAAGTCTGCAGTCCCCATACTACGTGGTCTTGCGTCCACTCACCAAGATATAACCGAGCCACTTCCAGAATCCCTGTCAGGAGCAGCAGACTCAGGTCGAGCACCAGGTGAGGATAAGGATAAGTGAAAACCAGACCTGCAGAGCAGTGGGCAACAGGGCGGGGGCCCAGTTACGGGGCTGTTGCGGGCCACAGCGAGCACACCTCCCTGGGCCTCCGCAACGAGGACTCACTTTTATATATGATCAGGAGCAGCGTGGCCAGGAAATACAGGGCGTCATACACCCCACTCAGGCAGAGCAGCATTTGCAGAGACACGGACGAGAGCTGGCAGTGGCGGTTAAGGACTCGCGGGGGGGACCCAGCGGGGGCCCTGCCCGTGCAGCCACCTGCCCGGTGCTCAGGGGCGCCCTGCCTGTGGGCCTTCCACCCAGACTCTTGGCGCCCGGCCTGTCCCTGGCGACCGCGGGCGGGACAGCCTTGGAGCACCAGGCTTCCCTGGGCCCCAGGGACAGGAAAAATTACTTTTTTTCATTTTCTTCAAAGAAAATATTCTTTTTTCATGCAGTTAAACATCTACCAACCTTCCCTGAGCGCCATACCCCTCAGGTCCACGTGCAGTACAGGGGGTCTGGGAGTCCAGGGTGAGGGGTCCGGGCTCTCTTGCTCTGGGCGGCTGGCAGGGGGCGCGCAGACCCCCCCAGACCCACACTCGAGGCGCAGGGCCGTGGGGGAGGCACAGAGCCAGCGCACCTGTTAGTGAACGTCCCTCCCGCTTCAAAATGAAATTTCTACTCAGAACTCATAAAAAAGGTGGGGGCGGGGGCTCAAGGGAGCAGAAAGCAGGAACTCGGGGCTGCCTTCAGGTATGCAGGGGACCGTCCTGGGGCGGCCTGGGGACACGGGGACACCGCAGAAGGATACCACCGTGGACGACGCTCTCCCTGCAAGAGAAAGCATGGGAGTCAGTGAGGCCCCGGGTCCAAGCTGGGCTCCCCCGGGCCGATCCCAGCGCAACCCCGTACAGGCAGACAGAGCCCCCTCTCCCCGGGCCCGCGGCCAGGTCCCCTCCAGCAGCTCGGCATCCGTCCCCCAGGAGTGGGCAGGCGATGGCCCCCGCCCGCTGCTTCCTGCCCCCTGCTCCCCACGGAATCACAGGGGGCCTTTCCTGACGCAGAGCGACGTCTTTTCCTTCGTAACTGACGACGGACGGTTGCTCTCCTCGGGACTTTTACATGTGGCCCCAAACCCACGCAGGAACTTCCTGAAGCGGCAGCCCCATCTCTTCCAACGGTGCGCCTCTGGGACCGTCTCGCGCGGCATCCGGCTTCCCTTCATCTCTCCCCTCATCGCACGAGGACACCCCCTCTCCCCGCAACAGCCTTCGCGATCACACGTTGTGAGTTTGCTTTGACGAATCCTCCAATCGAACGTGTCCCGGGGCAGGTCCCCGTCTCAAGAGGTGCGCTCGTGGCACAACTGGGACAGGTAGAAACACCACTAAGAACTCAGACTTGGGCCACAGGCCCTAGAGGAGGCTTGAGCGAGCAGGACAGGGTGCGAACGGCCGGTCGCGCTCCATCGGGGGGAGCTCTCAGCCACGGTGGGTTTTTATGGGGACGTGAGGGCAGAAGCGGGCGTCCCGTGGAGCGTCGCTTGGCAGGGGTCCCAAACGGGTGAGCACGCGGATGGGAACAGACTCAGAGCCCAGCGTCATGGGCGGCACGCCGGGCAGGGAGCGGGAGGCTAGACGGGCGCCGCCGGGTTCCGGGCACCGGCTCTCGGAAGCCCCCTCCGTGCCTTTCCAGGCCCGCTGAACTCGGCCGCCTGGACACTGGCCGTTACTTGGTTGGATTTCACATCAAGTGGGGTTTCCCCCTTGAGTCTTCTCTTGAAGGTTGGCTTCAGATACCGCAAACCTACGTGCCAGCCAACTGCAGTCACAGATCAGACCGCGGGGGCTCAGGGCAGAAACGTCGCGTAAAGCCTTAGGTGATACAGGACGTAAATGACTAACACTGAAGGTGGCCGCAGTCCGGGTGGCTCCTCCCTGAGCTCGGACCTGCAGGAGCTGCTTCTAAGCATGGCCGTGGCCTCGGGACCGAGCGGTTTTCGTCAGCGAGTTGCAGGAATAACAATACGGCCGTGAACAGGTGTCTGGGAAGAACAGGTGCGCCCCGAGGTGCTATGCCAGCGTCACGGGCCCGTTCTGCTCTGGGGGGGAGCTCTCCTTTCAGCAAATGAAGACATGGCGCGTTGCCAGGGGCCTTCCGCAGAGGGGGGCCGCGAGCGAGAGCCCAGCGCCCTGCTGCCGGCCCCGCTTCCTGGCTCCGAACCAGACGAGGGAATTCGGGGCCCGAGCGACACAGCTGCCGCCCGCTGCTGCCCTGCCTCCCCGTTACACACGCGTGCACACCAGAGCTGTTGGGCTTGCCGAGTGCTGGGTCCCGAGCCGGACACAGTGACACCAGGACCCTGGTGACCCCACCAGCAGGAGCAATGCCTGCAGCCGGTGAAGCCTCCCCTCCGTGGCCCAGCGGGAGGGGCACGGGCAGTGCCAGCTCTCACAGGCCCACGTTGCCAGGCACCGTCCTGCATACAAGCAGCTCGACTGACAAGCTCTTGCCCCGGCCGGGCTCCCGGCCTGTCACCCTCTGCAGTGCAGCTGCCACAGCCGGCCGGGCTCCAGGGGGACGCTCAGAGCCCCTGGCTGGGGTCCAGGGCAGCACGCACGCAGCCCCCCAGGGCTGGCTGTGGGAGATGGGGGCACCCCCTGGGGTCAGCGGAGGGGCACGGAGTACCCTCCAGGGTCAGCGGCGGAGCGAAATGGGGGCCTCCCCCAGCGTCGGCGGAGGGGGACGGGCACCCCCCCCCAGGGTCAGCCAAGGGGCACGGGGCACCCACTAGGGTCAGCGGGAGAAAGGGGGGGTGGGGGGCCGCCACCAGGGTCAGCAGAGGGGCACCCACTAGGGTCAGCGGGGGGAGGGGGGCCTCCCCCAGGGTCAGCGGAGGGCGCGGGGTTCCCCCCCGGGTCAGCGAGGGCAGGTGGGGCCCCAGGGCCGGCACAGCCGGGCGTCAGCGCCAAGAGAAAGGGCCGCGGGAGGACGCGGGGCGCCCAGACCCCGACCGCGAGCCGCCGCCGCCTGTCCGTCCCCCGCGGGAGGAGGCGGAACCGCGCCCGCCCCGGAGCCCCCCCGCCAGGCCCAGCCCTCACCTCGCCGCGTGGCGGCCATCTTGCCGCCCGGCCCCGCCCGCCGGGTCCGCCGCGATCCCGGCAGCCTCTCGGCTCCGCGCTCTTCGCGACCCTTCGGCCATTTTCGCCTCTGCTCGCGAAGGGGCCGCCGCGCTTCGGGAGTCGATTCCGATCCGCGGCCGAGGCCCGTTCAGCGCGTCCGGCAGCGCTCGGGCGCCTCCGTAGAAGAGGAGGCGGAGAGCCGAGGCTCGGAGTCCCGGGCTCGGGGCCGCTCGGCTCCGCTCGGCTCCTCTCGGACGGACTCGGCTCCCGCTCGCGGCGGGGCGGGCGGAGCCTGAGCGAGAGGGTCTCCGGGCCCGGTCGCGCTGCGTCGGAGGCCGGCGAGATCCCGCCCCGCAGACGGCGGCCGCGCTGCGGGAAAACGGGGCGCGCAGGCCTCCGAGGCGCTGAGGCGGTGTAGCGCGGGGCCGCTCGGAAGGCCTCGTGCGGTCTCGGGCCACCTCGGACCGACTCGGCTCCGCGCTTCGGGCCGCCTCGGCCCTCCTCGGTTCCGGACTCTTCCGCCTCGGCGCGTCTCGACTGGGCCGCTTCGTGCCGGTTCGGCCCCTGTTCGGGCGGCCTCGTGTCGTCTCGGCTCGGCTGGCAGCTTCGGGTGGCCTCGGCTCGGCTCGGCGGCTCGGCGCGGCTCGGGCGGCCCTGCTCGCGCTGCGCGCTTTCGGGCTCGGTCCCGGCCTTCGGGCGGCCCCGGCCGGCGCCTTCGGGCGGGCTCGGCGGAGTCCGGATGGAGGACTCGGACTCGGCCGCCAAGCAGCTGGGCCTGGCCGAGGCGGCGGCGGTGGCGGCCGCGGCCGCTGTGGCGGCGGCGGCCGCGGCCGCGGCGGGAGGCGAGGCGGAGGAGCCGGTGCTCAGCAGGGACGAGGACTCGGAGGAGGACGGAGACTCCGAGGCAGAGCGCGAGACGCGGCGGGTGACGGCCGTGGCGGTGATGGCCGCTGAGCCCGGGCACATGGACATGGGCGCCGAGGCCCTGCCCGGCCCCGACGAGGCCGCCGCGGCCGCAGCCTTCGCAGGCAAGTGCCGCCCGCCCGCGGTTCCCGTGCACCTGCCCACCTGGCCCGTGCATCCGTGCACACCTGCCCACCTGGCCCGTGCATCCGTGCGCACCTGCCCACCTGGCCCGTGCATCCGTGCGCACCTGCCCACATGGCCCGTGCATCCGTGCGCATCTGGCCCGTGCCCCCGTGCGCACCTGTCCTGCACGCTCTGCCTCCCACACACCTGCCCTGCCCGCGCTCCAGCGACCAACCTGCCTCTGCTCCCCCAGCACATGCCCCCGGCAGCCTCACACCTACTTCGTTGCCCTGACGTTCCTGCACGCCTGTACGGTGTCACCAGCCTGGCCCTGCCCAGCCTGCACACTTCTTCCCCGGCCTTCTTACCTTGTGCCAGCCTCACTCCCTCTTGTGAAGCACTCTGTGCTCCTTCCAGAACCTTCTCAGCACCTGTCCCTTGCTCCATTTTCTCTGCGTCTCACTGGTGATACTAGGGGCTGGGGGATTAGGGGAGTGGGGATCAAATGTGGATGCTGGCCTGGAGGGGCCTGCGGGTGGCTGTGCCTGGCCACCTGGAATGCTAAGGGCCAGTTCAGGGGTGACCTGAGAGCTGGAGAGCAGGACAGTGCTCACCCAGCTTGGGAGGCCCTGGGGCCTTTGGGAGCAGAGGCCAGCACGTGGGTTGTCTCCTCAGATTGCCCTGCTGGTCTGTCCCTGCCTTCCCTGCCTCCCCTGCCCCGTTTCGTTTATGGATCTTCCCTCCGCACTAAGGCGTTCCTGGCCAGTTGCTTTCCCAGGGAAAAGCCGGCCTGTGGTTTTGTGTCTCGTCACAAAGAACATTGCCAAGTGTCATGACCCAGGGAGCCTCAGAGTGCCCCCTTTAGAAGCAGAGCCTCCCCACACCGCCAACCCACAGCTGTAGAGACTTTCCCAGGGTTGTGCCCCTTCCCAACTGGGAGCTCCCCGGCAGCCCCAGGACTCGGGAGTGTGCGGGCGCCCTGGCAGAGTGTCGGGTTGTCACTCTCCCCCAAGGAGCCTCCAGGTCTGGGACGGACAGCAGCCTCCTGGGTCCTGGTGTCCTGGGCGCCCGGCCAGGTCCTGCTGGCCCCCGAGTCGCCCGTCTGTGGTGGGCTGCTTGGCGTCCTCGCAGGACAGGGAAGAAGGCTTTGTGGCTGCTGGAGCCTTTGGTTCTCGTAGCTAAACTGGTTTAATGTCAGGATTTTATGGACCATGAAGTGTTTCTTCAGGTTTTTGTGCTTTTTTGCATGTTGTTTTGGATGCAGAAAAGGAATGGGTTACTATTCCTCATGGCCTCGGAGAAATGTGTTTTTCCTGCAAATTGCATCGCTGTGTTTGCATGTGTGAAAGCAGTACAGCTTTCCTGTGGGACGTTCCGAGGTCAGGTAGTTTCCCGGGGGAAATAACTTGGGGACCTGCTGCCCATCTGAGGCCACCGCCTCCAGGCACGCAGCTGCTGGGCCCAGTGGACTGTGCTCGGACAGGGCTCTCCTCGGCCGGGGACACGGCGTGTGGTCTGGTGGAGGATGTGGACGGGCCACAGGTGTCTCAGTGCAGTTTGGTGGGCGCTGGCCTCATGGGACAGGCTGGTAGGTGCTGAGCACCCCCCACGTGCCCAAGGCTGCCCAGGCACCGGCTGTGCTAGAGTGCTGGGTGGTCCAGGGGGCCCGCAGCCCAGCCCGGACCGGGCCTGGAAGGAAAGCAGGAGGGGGGCGGTGAGGGAGGACAGGGACCTGCCTTGCCCTGTGCCGACCTGGGGGGCAGCCAGTAAAGGGGGGACTGTGTGTCGCTGGCACCGCGGGTGTCTGCTCGCAGGGCGATCACAGGGTGTGCAGCCTTGCTGTATGGTTTCCTCCTAAAAGGGTGCGAGAAGCCCGGAGGCGGTCTGGCCAGGCCTGCTGCTGTCTTGATGGGGCCTGGAGGGGGTGGGGGTGAGGACCCAGGTCACCTAGGCTGTGGCTGGGAAGTGCTGAGTGAGAGTCCCTTGTTGGCAGTGCAGGCACCTGATTGAGAGATGCTGTTCTGGGGCCCAGGGAAGGCCTCTGGCCCTGAGCGTGCGCCGAGTCAGGCTCCTGTGTTGCAGAGGTGACCACTGTGACCGTGGCCAACGTGGGCGCCTCCGCAGACAACGTCTTCACCACGTCCGTGGCGAACGCCGCCTCCCTCTCGGGACACGTTCTGGTAAGCCGCCCCGCCGACACTCTTCCCCGACCCCAGAGGTTTTCCTGAGCCCGGGCTCGCCCGGAGGCCTGCCCTGGGTTCCCTGGCCCTGGGAGGGCTGCGGCTGCTGCTCTGCCCTCAGGCCGTGCTCATGTCTCCTGCCCCTGCCAGATGACCGCACACGGGGGACCCCCCTGCAGCCTTGCCAGGACCGCTAGTTAGGGTCTGTTTATGGCCTTGATCGCACACCTGGGACGCTGCATCCCTGGAAGCAAAGTTACTGTCGTTGGCATGGGAACAAACAGGAAACTCACCCTCTTATGACAGCAGACTACAGATTTAAGAGACTTGCTTTATTTCCTAGGGCGTCGGAACTCATACGAACTGATAGCCAGGTGATACTTTCTCGCAGATTCTGGTTTGTCCTCTATTCTAGAAGGGTCTGGAGCCAGAGGGTCAGGGTGCCTCCTGGGTGCGGTCGGGAGACCCTCAGACTTAGTCTGATCCAGACGAGGAGCCGGGTCTCACGTATCTGTGTATCCTCCTAGGCCTTAACAAGGAGAGTGTTTCGTGACTCATAAAGGAACACACAGCATTCCCTTTTCCTCGTAGAGGGTTGTGTGTCTTCGGCGATTCAGACACGAGCAGTGTTGACGTTCTTACTGGGGCGTTGACCCTCCAGGTGTAGGGGCCCAGGCCCTGGGTGCGTGTGCAGGTGCGCGTGTGCTCGGGGGCCGGGTTTCCCTCGACTCCACGATGAGCACGTGCTCACTTCCCCTGATTGGATTTTCAGGTGTAAGAAAGGTCTTTTCAGTTTGTCCTCGTCGGCTCTGTTCTCAGCACGAAAGCATCAGAGCACCCCAGAATGCTGGGTTTGAACCGACGGCTCGGAGTGTTGCCTGCCCCAGGGCTGTCTGGGCAAAGCCTCGAGTGTTTGCCAGAGGCCCGTGAGGCGTGCACCTGGGGACGGCGGGTGGTCTCCGCTCCAGCAGGGACCAGAGGGGTGTGGCTCGCCCGGGGAGCAGGGCAGCTTGAAGGGCCAGGCCAGGCGGGCACGGAGGAGGTGGGCGCTGTCCCCGTGGCAGCATGGCTGGGGGGCTGCATGGTGCGGGAGGCCCTGGTGCCTGGTGGCACGGGCAGAGCTGTGCACGGGGCACAGGCGCCAGAAGGGAGTCCTGCCCCAGACCCCAGCTGTGACTTCTCCGCGCCCTCCCTCAAGGCCTGTGACCTGGCAGGAGCTGCCCCAGTAGACGTGAGCGTACTTCCTGGTTCCAGGGTGTCCGGGGGACAGCTTTGTTCCTTGCCCTTGGCCTGCGGTCGAGAGCGTTTGCTCAGGGCCACCCCGGCGTAGCCTCGTGTGTCCTGTTCTCGGCTTTGTGTTTAGGAGAGGCCGGGGGCCGGGGGTTCCCCTTGCCGGGGTGCTTACTTAGCGAGGACCGCATCCCGCTGCACCCAGCAGCAGGCTCTGCGCCGCTGTGACACGACTCAGGGAACGCCCCTTCCTCCAGTCTGGCAGGACGGCGCTGCAGATCGGGGACAGCCTAAACACCGAGAAGGCCACGCTGATTGTGGTGCACACGGACGGGAGCATCGTGGAGACGTCGGGGCTGAAGGGGCCAGCCGCTCCTCTCACCCCAGGTGCGCCCTCCTGCCCCGGGCTTGCCGGGCGCCTGTCAGCCACCCTGGGGGGCAGCTGACTCCCTCAGTTATTTCTTTTAAAGATTTTATTTGGGGCGGGGGCAGAGGCACAGGGAGCAGCAGAGTCCGCACGGAGCAGGGAGCCCGACGTGGGTCGAGCCCAGGACCCTGGGATCGTGACCTGAGCCGCAGGCAGGGGCTTCACCCACTGAGCATCCCCCCGGCCCCCTGACTTACTTATGTGGGTATTTGGAGTGTAAACATGGAGTAGAGAGAGTGGGATTTTCTGGGCTGACAAAGCAGCCCAGAGCCGGAGGGGGCGGCCGCAGAGAATCGCTGAGAGTCCGAGGGGTGGTGGTTCCCTCCCCGGGGGCTGGGGGCATGCCTGGCGCCCCAAGTCTCACCGTGCTGCCTCTGCCCAAGGCCCTCAGTGCCCTGCGAGTCCTGCGGCTCCCGGCCAGGACAGAAGTGGGACCAAGTATAACTGGGACCCATCGGTGTATGACAGCGAGCTGCCCGTGCGCTGCCGCAACATCAGCGGGACCCTGTTTAAGAGCAGGCTGGGCTCAGGTGAGGCGGGGCCCGCTGTGGGGGCAGTGCTGACCCGCGGAGGTCGGGAGCAGGGGAGAGGCGGGGCGCGGGCACGGCCCGAGTTCCCAGCCCCAGTCGGGGAGGGGACGGTCGTCCCCAGGTCCGCGTGACACGGCTGCATGGGGCTGCGGTGCCGGGGATGCCGCACAGGGACGGAGCCTGTCCAGACACTGTCCACGGGATGGGGAGCGCATGCGGGCCCAGGCCGGGCCCTGGCGTCGGTGGGCGTCCACAGGGAGCCAGGTGCGAGGGGTAGCCTGCATCCACTGTGCTGGTCCCGCGTGTCGTTTCAGGAGGCCGGGGCCGGTGCATCAAGCAGGGCGAGAACTGGTACAGCCCCACGGAGTTCGAAGCCATGGCAGGACGAGCCAGCAGCAAAGACTGGAAGAGGAGCATCCGCTACGCGGGCAGGCCGCTGCAGTGCCTCATTCAGGTGCGCGGGCGCCCTCCCGTGTCTCAGCGCAGGGCTCCCGTCGCCGCAGGAGTGTCTCCCCAGGCGTGAGCCATGGGTCCTCTGCCCCCTGACCCTGGGGCCCCAGGCCGGGCACCCGCCTCCGCCCGATGGCGGTGGTCCAGGAGCGCACGAGGCAACACGGGAGCTCCGGTTAAGGCGCCTGTGCCCTCCGAGAGCCCGACTTCCCTCTGCCTCAGTTTACACATCCCAGGAGGAGAGGGCTTCTAACTGCTGTTTCCAGCTTAGTGCTTTGGGGGTTACTCGAGAGGTCACACCCATAGAATCTCTCCGTGCCCCCAGTAATGGCCTCGTGCCGAACAGAGGTGTGGGGACGGAGTGTCTGGGAGGGACAGGGTCTCACCTCACGGGTGGCAGAGCTAGTTGTCCCCTAGTGTGGATGGCTCACACGGGAGGCCGACTCCCCACCTACCGCGGGACTCCTTGACTTTCAGGATGGGATACTAAACCCTCATGCTGCCTCTTGCACCTGTGCCGCGTGCTGTGATGACATGACCTTGGTGAGTTGCCAGGAGGTGACCGGTCGTCAGGCTCGCTCAGCAGCTGTCTGTTCGCAGGCACTTCAACCCTCAGCCCCCCGCCCTGCCCCGTCCTGCTCCTGCTGCTGCGCATGTGTCCCCGTGTCCCTGGTGCCCCACAGCATAGCTCGGATTCTCACTCAAATTCTGGCTTTCCGACATTCCTCTGGGGCCCTCGGGGGTGTGCGAGGCTGGCCCCGCGGGGCGGCCACAGCACGCGGGCGGGGCTTGTCTGAACACAGAAAGCTCCTGTGACATCACCATCATAACCCCAAGACCAGACACACGCTTTCTTTTTATGGTTGTGAGAAGCATATACGTGCTTTTTCAAAATCTATGTTTTTAAATGTTACTTCTTAAAAATACCGCGTTGAAGTTATTTATAAGGCTTTTAATGTTCTTTGAAATACTTCTTTATCCTAGATCTTTCTCAAGGAGTTAGTCTTGAAAAGAATAACTATTTTTCATTGATTTTCACATGTGCTGCTGTGTTGTTTTCAAAACCATGATACTGGCCTGTAACATATGAATATCCCAGTCTTGTTTCAGCCTTTCTTAGCATTGAATTCTGTTTTAAAACGTATTCAAATTTTAAAAGTTGCTTAATGAGGTTTCCTGATTTTATTTTGAATACTCCTCTGGTTAATCATTAGAAGATTCGAAAGAACGTTCAATTGGAAAGACATCATATTCTTGGGTGGAAAAACGAAACATTCTAAAATTGTCTAGTTCGTGTAAGGACTAAACGTGAATCTAATGGCATCGACGATGGGATATTTCTATGAAAATTAAATGACTTTAAAGTTCACCTGGAGAAGCTGGTCGTGAGATTCTCGGGGATCTCGTAGGGAGAGACGCGCCATAAGAAGGAACTCGTTCAAAAAAAAAAAAAGAAGGAACTCGTTCCGTGCAGAGGTTGATACTTGGTAGAGTGATTTGCAGCTACTCCAAGACGCTGAAATACGTGTCTAACAGAACATGTACCGACTCCGAGTATGAAAACCCTAGAAGGTGCCGTGGGGGGGGGTCAGAGAAGCCTGCAGGGTGGCGGGCAGCGCGGAGCCTCCGGTTCTTCCCAAGGGGTTCTTTGGAGCTTTAAACAAGCTAACTTTAAAATTTATATGAAAAGGTAAAGGAAATAGGACAGCCAAAGTAACTTTAAGAAAATGACAAATTGGAGGAGTCCCAGCGCACGCCGGTTAAGCCCTGTCCGCTGCTGTCATCGTGAAGATGTGTCCATGGAGCAAGAGGCCCGTGTGCACTTGCACACCAGCTGCTGACACAACCAGAGGGCCCGGGGCCTAGACACCCGCTGTATACACAGACGACTGTAAAATGGGCCACAGATTCAGATTTATCCGAAACAGAAAACTAGCGGTTTTGGAAGAAAATGGGAGAACTTCATGGCCTCGGATTTCCCAGACGTGAAACCACAGTCACGATCCGTGAACTAGAACTTGGTGACTCGAATGCCTCCGTTCTTCCCCGCGAGGGTGGCAGTAAGGAGCCTGTGCACCTGCGCTCCGGCCTCCCTGCAGCTCAGCGTGGCAGCAGCGTCCCCCCGCCAGCCCCAGCCGAGCTGTCGCGGGTGTGAGCGAGAGCACACTGACTTCCTGCACCCGCCTCTCGGAGCCAGGCTCCACCAGGAGCAGCAGGGCGGGCGTGCGGCCTCCAAGCATCCCCCCAGCTCCCGGGGGGAGGTCCACGCTGGGGAGGCCCTGCCCAGAGCCGCCGCCCTGAGTCACAGGGGCTGCCCCGGCTCTGCAGCCGCGCCGGTGGATGTGCATCTCTGTGTTGCTAGAACACGTCAGACGCAAAGAAACAGAAAGCGCGAGGCACGCAGAAGAAATGCAGCGGCAGACACGGCCCAGACATCACTGGGCCCAAGGCCTCCCGGCCCCGTCTGCGTTCACAGAACTGAGGGAACCCGTCTGAAGAACCACGGGAAGTGTCTGCTCAGGCGGCTGCTGCAGGGCCCCACCGACAGAGCAGGGCCTTCGACCCTGGAAACGAGTTTTCTCCTGGCTCTGAGGCTGGACATCCTGGGCGAGGCCCACTGGCAGCAGGTGCGGTGCCGAGCGTCCCACGGCAGAGGAAGCCAGCCCGGGGCCCCCACGACCCCCCCTTACTGCGGATCCAGCCAGGGGGGTCCCGCCTCCCTCGCTTGGTGCCCGGCAGGAGCGTCTCCACAGTTGGAGAACATCCACAACAGGATTGGAATTACAAAAAAGAACTAAGTGGAAATTCTAGAATTGAAAAATAGAAGACCTGAGTGAAAAATTGTGTGGAAGGGCCCACAGCAGTGAGGTCCCCGTGGTTCCCATGGGTCTCACGCCCCCAGTGTAGTGACGCCCAGCAAGATGCTCCAGCCGTCGTTCCCAGCACCCCCTGCCCCCCGCGGACCCCCCCCCCCACGATCACCGGCCAGTCTGTGCTTGCTGGTGGGCCGAGGTTTCCCCTGAACTTAGGGACCTGGGACCACAGTGCCCCCTCCTTCCTGCCGGAATGTTCTCTCGTTTCAGGCAGGGGGCTCTCCTTTCTCTTGGAGCGGTCCCTCTTTGTTTTGTCTTCTAGCGGTTCCTAAACATTCCGTATGTTGATGAGGCTTTTTTTTGTTTTCAAACAGCGTTGTTCATGTATTCTTTTAAAAAGTGTTCTTTCTGTCGTTTTAAGGAATTTAGGGCCTGAGAGAGGCTGGTCCTTGCAGCTTCCCTCCTCGATGAGCCCTGCGCTGCCCCTGGCGCAGGCGGGAGATGGCGTGTGGCAGCTCGTCCTCCCTGCTCACTGTGCCTCTCCCCGCAGAGTGGTCCCGTCAGGCTCTTTGTCCCCTACAAAAGGCGCAAGAAGGAGAACGAGCTGCCCACAACCCCCGTGAAGAAGGAGCCCCCCAAGAACATCACGCTGCTTCCCGCCACGGCTGCCACTGCCTGTGAGTTTGAGCAAGGTGCAGCCACGGCCCCTCTGACCCTCCGACCCCTGGGGCTCACTGTTCAGACCAGGGGACACCCTCTGGGTGCCCTTCGGGGGGCTCCGTAGACTCCTTTGCGTGTGCCCTGCATGTATTTCTTTGTGACACAAACCAGAGCAGCGCCTGCTTGATAGGGGCGTCACGGACCACCCTCTCAGTGAAGGTTCTGGGGTCTTGGTCTTCACAGCCTTAGGCATGTGCCTGCCCTTGTGTGGCCCACAGTGTTGTCTCGCACACGGGAGGACAGACAGAAAGCCTGGCTGAACCGCAGAATGGGCCGCAGAGATTTACAGATGGGGCAGGGCAGTCTCTCGGGCAACATGCCAGCAGTGAGCACCTGTGCTAGGTGCCCGCAGAGGGTGTGAACTCAGGGTGACCTGGAAGCACCTGCAGGTGGGGTGGAGTCGGGGGGATGGGAACACTTGTAGGCGGGGTCGGGTTGAGGGGCCAGGAGCACCTGCAGGAGGGGCGGAGCCGGGGGTGGGGCTGGGAGCATCTGCTGGTGGGTTGGAGTGGGGGCAGGCCCTGGGGAGCACCTGCAGGTGAGGTGGAGTGGGGGAGGCGGTCCTGGGAGCACCTGTAGACAGACTGGGGGGGGCCGGGAGCACCTGCAGGTGCAGTGGAGTTGGGGGGAGGTCTCCGAGGTGACGCAGCAGCAGAAGTGCTGGGGGTTATGTTTTCTGCTGTTTTCTACTGAGGCGGTTCCTGCCTCCATTGCCAGGTCAGCTGTGCGGGGTCACCGAGAGCCCGCCGTCCATGCCGCCCCCCCGCCAGCCCCCTGCAGGGCACCACAGGTCACTGGCTTCTGCCCGCCCTTGCAGAGGCGCCTGGGGCGTGTGCCCTGGGTGAGCCCAGTGGTAAAAAGCGCTTCTGCTTTTCCAGTCACCGTGACCCCCTCAGGACAGATCACTACCTCGGGCGCACTGACCTTTGACCGGGCATCCACCGTGGAGGCTACCGCCGTCATCTCCGAGAGCCCAGCCCAGGGTGACGTCTTCGCGGGAGCCACGGGTGGGTTGTCCTCGGCACCGCCCGCGGCTGGGCAGGCCCGGGGTGCGGGGTTGGTGGGTGTCTGCCCACTGCTGCCCTCCGCCAGTCGTGCACACGAGCCCCAGGAGCCACAGCCAGAAGGTGGAGACGTGGGGGAGGGGACTGACTGTGGGCACTCTACGGTGACCTGTATGCCCCCCAGCCTCTTGGCCAACTCCCCGTGGGTGGTGCAGCTGCAGATGCCCGAGATGTCGGGTCACCCGGCTGTCTTGTTCCTCTGGTCCCTGACAGTGCAAGAGGCAGGTGTGCAGCCCCCGTGCAGGGTCGGCCATCCGGAGCCCCACTACCCCGGCTACCAGGACAGCTGTCAGATCGCGCCGTTTCCGGAAGCCGCGTTGCCAACGTCTCATCCCAAAATAGGTTGGTCCGAGAGTTCGCACTCGCGGTGCTGTGACCCTAGGACCGTCTCCCCATCCTCCAGGACGTCTTGGGGGTGTCGTGCGGTCACGACGGCACCTCCACGCTTTTCAACATTTAAGGAGAAGTTCCACTGGAGAAAGTGTGTTGATTTCTTGTTTTATCTTGCTTTCCCCCCATTGCAGTGCTGACCTCCCTGCCGGCCTTGGCGGTCCCCCCCTCCACCCCCACCAAAGCTGTGTCCCCCGCCGTGGTGAATGGGCTGGAAATGTCCGAGCAGCGGAGCTGGCTGTACCTGGAGGAGATGGTCAACTCCCTTCTGAGTACGGCACAGCAGCTCAAGACGCTGTTTGAACAGGCCAAGCAGGCCAGCTCGTACAGGGAAGCCGCCGTGGCCCAGGCCCGAGTCCAGGCGGATACAGAGCGCAAGGAGGTAGGAGCCAGTCGGCCCGTGCACACGTGTTGCTGGACACTCACCTGTCTCGGACGTGGGTGTCCTTTCAGACTTCCGGCAGCCGGTGAAGACGTGCCTCGGGTTCTGTTGAGTTTGGAGAGGCGTCTTCGGGCTGTCTGGTGGGACATGTCCGTCTTCCCGGCCCCAGGGGCGCCGGCATGGGCATTTCCCTTCCCGCTTCCAGCACATTCTTCAGAAGTAGGATCCCGAGTGTGGCGTCTGGGTTCATGGAGCATCGGGACACAGCGCTTTCCCACGGCAGCTTGTCGCTGCAGCACAGAGAGGGGCTCAGCCCCGCTGGCTTTTCGTGTGGCCTTCAGGTCGCTGATGGCGTCTTCGCTCCACAGGGGCCCGACCCCAACCTGGCGTAGCTCAGCGTGGCCCTGGAGATGGTCTGCAAGCCAGCTGCGATGCGCAAGGGTGGAGGTGGAGGCTGGGGTGCGCTGGCCACGCGGGTTTATTGTTTAAGAGTTTATGTATTAGACTGAGAGCCCGGGGGGCGGGGGACAGACTGCCCTGAGCAGGGAGCCCTACTACGTGGGACTCGATCCCAGGACTCTGGGGTCATGACCTGAGCTGATGGCAGATGCTTCTTCACTGACTGAGCCCCCGGCGCCCCCCGTGCTGCGTTCTTAACAGAAGCTTTTCCCCCTTACAGTCCAGGTGGACTTGGTTTCTAAACAAAACTCAGATTGATTTTTCCATCAAATCTATATGTGAAAATTTCTGTTCATTTATCCTTTTTGTAGATCAGAGGAAAGGAGAGTTTTTCAAGTTCTTAATTTTTTATTAATATTATTTTTAATATTCTACGTATTTATTCATGAGAGACACACAGAGAGAGAGAGAGAGAGAGAAGCAGGCTCCCAGGATCCTGACCTGAGCTTAGGCAGCCGCTCAACCACGGAGACCCCCGAGGCGTCCTGGTTCTGAATTTTTTTTAATGATCTCCTAATTTTGCTTTTCCAAACAAGCAAAGTGCTGCTCTCTTCCTGAAGGAGATAAATGTAAAACATTTTTTTAAAAAAATTACAATTCTAGGGGGATCCCTGGGTGGCGCAGTGGTTTAGCACCTGCCTTTGGACCAGGGTGCGATCCTGGAGACCCGGGATCGAATCCCACATCGGGCTCCTGGTGCATGGAGCCTGCTTCTCTCTCTGCCTGTGTCTGTGCCTCTCTCTCTCTCTCTCTGTGACTATCATACACAAATAAATAAAAATTAAAAAAAATTACAATTCTAAACTAATAATAGACAATGAATTTTATAGAAAAGAGAAAAGCAGAAAAAAACCTTGATCTTTTTACCCAAAGACAACGACTGCGAGGTTCTCAAACGTTTGAGACTTTTCTAGGTTTCTTAGTGTCGTTGGTCTCCAACCGAATCCCGGCCTCGTCAGAGGCCCCGTGGTGCCGATCATGCTGTCTGGTCCCGGCGGCAGGTGCGGAGCTGCAGGTGCGGACCTCCCCGGCGTCTCCGGGGCGCAGGCCGCTGTGCGTGGGCTGCGCCTGAGGCCCTTGGGCCCACGGGAGCCGCCTCAGCACCTTGAGGACCCTGCCCCGTCGCGCGGCCCGACCTCGGTCTCTGGCTGCCGCGGGACCCCATCCGTGTCTGGAGGTCAGGGCAAAGTGTTTGCTTTCCCGCGGTGCGGTTACACCCGCGGAGGGGGATGGTGGTGGTGCGGCGGGCGCGCTGGCAGCTCCCCGGAGCCAGGAGGCCCCCGCGGACCCACGGCCACATGGGGAAGCGCCTGGGTGGGTGGTGAGGCAGACGCGTGGGGGGAAACTGGCCAAGTGACTTCCCTGGGAAGGAGCGCGTGGGCAGTGGAGCAGACCTCGGGTTGCAGAGGGGGATGTGGGCGCGCGTGGGACGCTGGAGCCGCAGAGGGGTCGTGGGCGTGCGTGGGACGCTGGAGCCGCGGAGGGGGACGTGGGCGCGCGTGAGGTGCTAGAGACACGGAGGGGGATGTGGGCGCGGGTGGGACGCTGGAGACGCGGAAGGGCCGTGGGCGTGGGGCGCGTGGGGCGCTGGAGCCGCGGAGGGGCCATGGGGGCGCGCTCTGGGACAGATGGCCCACGTTGGGGGTGCTCCTACAGGCAGGTCACTGTGTCCAGGGCTTAGCTCCCCGGGAGACCCTCCCGTCCACAAGGCCCCAGCAGACCCGTGAAGGCCAAGGGCTAGGGAAACGCAGAGCCGGGTTTCCGTGGGGTCTTGGTTCCTCACCGTGGACAGCTCCTCGCACAGCCCCGTTTCTCTGCTGCTGCAGCTGCTCATGTTGCCGTGTGCTGACCGGGGGGCTGGGGGTGGTAAGGCCCCAGCCCCTGCTTGTGCACCCCCTCGGGGACCTGCTGTCACGGGCGTGACCACCCGTGTGTCTATGCGGTGCTGTCTCTACACCTCTGCCCACATTTAAGTTGGTTATTTGCGTTTCCTCAGAAAAAGGGTTTCAGGGGCGCCCGGGGGTTCGCTCAGGGAAACATCTGCCTCTTGATTTCAGAGGCCTCCCTGGGTGTGGACTGTCTTTAATTAAAAAAAAAAAAAGCAGTTTTATAAAGGGAACATGATTGTAAGAAGAAGTTACGGTTGTTCGTCAGGTCCCCTACCAAGGCGGCAGGTCCTGCTCGAGGGGCCAAACGCGGATGGTTGGGGTGCCTCTCCCCAGACACAAGGGGCCTGGGGATCATTTTAGAGGGTGAGGAGGGCGTGTGAGCTGTGAAGACAGCGTGGTCCTCCCCCGTGTCCTGGGGCCCGGGCCTCACACAGCGCAGCAGCTGGCCCCACAGCTGGTTGTCCATCTGTCCAGCAGCCAGCAGCGTCCTTCTGGGGAGGAGCAACGTCTGCACAGCTGGCTGGACGGTGTTTAGGGAACGAAACGGAAGGAATCAGTGTCTTGGTGATTCAAACTGCACAGAAGCATCGATTGGAAACAGCCATTCATGCTCTTATCAGGACGATCGCTGGGCTGTGGCGTCCCGGCCGGTAGCCTGGTCGGCATTCCACCTGGGCTTGACCCACGGAGACCAGTGTTGGGGACACCCTGTGCTCCTCGCGCTGCCCCCACCCAGGACGCAGCTCCTGGCAGCACCCCTCACGCAGGAGTCGCAGCTTCACTCTGGCGAAGACATGAGTGGGGAGAGCGTCCTAGTTTTTGATTTTTCATTGGTGATTTTTGTGGATCTTTTTTTTTCAGAGTAAAATTTATATGTGACGTAGCCACTTTTTCTCTCCTTGTAAGAATTCTCCAGTGACAAACGGGACAGACGTGAAATACAGGAAGACACAATGGAGGTCCTTTACCCCGTGCTGGGGGTTGCAGCAACCTTCAGGGGGTGCAGAGCTTGGCGGGAGCTTGGTGCAGGAATGCTGCATGTTTTGCCTCCCACAAGCACAAGGTCCCAGGCTCCCAGGTCACACTCAGAGGGTCCAGAAGCTGAATTCCCATCGCGAGACGTTAATGACACAAGGGCAGTGTCTTTTTTTTTTTTTAATTTTTATTTATTTATGATAGTCACACACACACACACACACACACACACAGAGAGGCAGGGACACAGGCAGAGGGAGAAGCAGGCTCCATGCACCGGGAGCCCGACGTGGGATTCGATCCTGGGTCTCCAGGATCATGCCCTGGGCCAAAGGCAGGCGCTAAACCGCTGCGCCACCCAGGGATCCCAAGAGCAGTGTCTTGCCCGGGGCTGGATTGGTGAGGTCGCCACTCTGCAAGGCGGGGCTTTGGGTTTTATTTATAATTTTGCATATTTTAAAGAAAGAAACGCGACACAAAATCCCTTTATTCTTCCCATCACATCGGGCAGAAGAACATGAAGTGTTCTAATGGGAGGGCCGCGCCTGGGCCTCCCCGTCCCCTACGCCTCCCCTCCCCACACCAACCCCCCGCCTGTGTCCTGTGCCTGCGGACTCAGAACCAGGCAAGTCTGTGCTTTGTCCCCAGCTGCAGAGGGGCCGCATTCCTGCAGAAGTTCATGGCGAACCAGCGCGTGATCCAGGGTGGGGTGCGGGGGATGCTGCGGGACTCTGGCCTGCAGATAGCCTGCAGACCTCACGCACAGACCCCAGTTCTGCTCACAGGGGCAGCCACACCTGGACGCTGGGCTCCTGTGACACAAGGGGCCCCCGCCTGCACGTGACCCCATGGGAGTGCGCTCTGGGGGACGTTGTGCAGCCTGGAGGGGCGCAGGAGGGCGGGAAGGCCCTCACTCGAGCCGCGGTGGATCGGGCAGGGCTGTGGCCGTCCAGGCTCTGCCGCGGGGAGAGCGCCAAGGGGCTTTGTGCTGAGGACTTGCCGTGCGGTATATGACGTCGGCCGGTGTGGACAGAGGTCTCGCCCGGGCTGCCCCCATCGCAGGTGGTCCCACGGGGTGATGACTGTGGGTGAGCACCAGCCGGGTGGGAAAGACCAATGCTGCCGCCTTTTGGACTGGAAGACCCTGGTGGAGCCCCAGGAGCGTTGGGGGGTCGGGGGACACACGACCCGGGAAGGCTGGAGGGGTCAGGAGGCGGTGGCTCAACCTGCCTCGGCTCCGTGGGCCAGACTCCCTGCTTTGACAGTTTATTTGGAATTACAAGAAAAATCAAATTCCGCCCAGCAGAGGCAATTCAGGATTTCGCATTTTTCATCATGAGTTGCTTGCTTTCGTGCATGATTAGCTCAGCAGAGATTAAACAGGGCAGAAGAGCAGATGCCTCCCGTCAAGGGCGCAGCATCCAGCAGAGGATGGCTGGAGGCCTGGGGGTGCTAGGCCCCTGGCACGGCCCTGGGGCGGCCCCGCTGCTCCCAGCCTAGCCGCGCGCTGGTCGTGCTCGCAGGTAAGGGCTCCGTGTAGCACCTGCGCCCAGACGGTCAGCGCGGCCGGGGTGGAGGCAGAGTGCCCACGGGGGCGCAGGGCGGGTCCCGGAGGGGCCTCTTCCTGGCTCAGACCCCCGCACCCTCATCGGGGCACAGGGGGCTCTCTGGTGTGTTTTCTCCAGGGCACTCACTGTCCCCTTGGGGCCCCTCATGACCTGACATGACCCCAGTGGGCCCAGCCCCAGAGGCTGAGCATAGGCATTTGGGGGGGGCGCGTCCCGGCCGTGCATTTCTCCTCCAAAGGTGACTTTCCCCTTTGCACATGGAGCCACTGCGGCCGTACCGCCCAGGGTGCACCTGGGTCCCGTCCCATCCCCTCCCGGGGCACCACGTGGTGGGTACAGGATCTCAGTGGATTTTTGGAATTCTGCATCAGAGGCTGTTTCCCATGTTTGTCCGTGTTGGCCTGGGCTCCTTTGCCTGTGTTTTATCCTCTGCGTTAGACCCGAGGCCTGCATGCCTTATTTTGCTCACGTGTTTGCGCCTTTGCCGGGTGGGGGCTCTGGGTGGGGGCTCCGGCCTGGCCCCTCCGGGCGCTTCCTGGCGCTGGACGACCCTGTAGACCCAGGAGCCCCGGTCCCTCCGCTGGAGGATGGTCTGGGGAACCAAGACCCGGGGCCGCGGGGGCGTCGTAGCTTCTGGGCCCCTCGGCAACACCTTGCATGTGCAGACTGTCCCGTGTTTCTGTCCTCGTCCGTCCATCTCTGTAGCTGAAGGGACAGGTCCATGTCGCTGTGGCTCAGTCCAGTGCCAACCACTGCATTGTTTTTGGCTAAATAATAATTCCTCTGCGGTGTGCGGGGCAGGCCGCGGAGCTGAAGGCACGTGTGCCGGAGGCGCAGCCCTGCTCTGGCTTCATCCCGACGTGTTGGTTCCGTTCGGAGGCTCTCTGCCTCCCCCAACCCCGCTGGGTGCGCCGTGGGTGTGCGGTGTGTGCGGTCACCTTCCCGCGGAGCCTCCCCTCTGTGAGGGCCCCACTCAGATGCGGTGCAGTCTGGGGACGCCCTGCTCCCCCGGGGCAGTTTCATACGAGGTTACAGGCGGCCCTTCCCTTCTTTCCTCCCGGTATTGTGTCCTACGAGGCGGAGGCGGGTGCGAGCTTGATGACACCCCGGATTCCGGGTGACGCTCGTGTCTGGAAGGGAGCGAGTGCACGGTGGGGTGGTTTCACGAGCGGAGAAGCGTCGGGCCCGAGGGTGGGCGGGGGAGCCCGCGGCACCGCCTTGGCCACGCCGCTGCCCTCAAGTGTGGGCGGGTGACCTACCGCGTGGATCTTCGGTTAGTCGAGGGAGAGCCAGCAAAGCAAATGTTTCCAGGAACCGTAGAGACTGGCCGTGCTGGGGCGCGCTTGGCGGCTGGTGCTGGGCATCCAGAAATGTGCTCTGGCTGCCCAGGCGTGGGCGGCGGTACCGGGGACTGGGCGCTCAGAGCCAGGAGGAGGCCCCGGTG